TATAGGACTTCTCAAATGTTTGGAAACATGATTTTTTAATATTTTCAATTAAATCTCACCAAGGCTGTATTCATTTGATCAAAAATACAGTAAAAACAGTAATCTTGTGAAATATTGCAATTTGAAATAACTATATTTTCTATTTGAATATATTTTAAAATGTAATTTATTCCTGTGATGCAAAGTTAAATTTTCAGCATACAGTACTCCAGGCTTCAGTGTCACATGCTCATTTTGAAATCATTTTTCTGATAGATCACGCTCATGTTGTTCTAATATATATTTTCTAAATAAACTGTATTTATACTATATAATACATTTTCCATTTATTTAAAATGTACATTAGAATTTAAAATATGAACTACATCTTAAATATGGACTCTCTTGGCTATGGCATCCAGAGCTGACTTCAGCCAGGCTGTTACATTACGTAAGAGAAATACAGAATGGCCTTTAGGCTGCAGAAAATGATATGTGCTGACCTGAAAATGTCAACATCTTTCTCTCCACAGTAAGCCAGATCCCTGCTCTGTCATGACTGCATCTCAAAGTGAGGCTGTATTCAGCCACTAAGCTGTAACAGAATAATCTACTTTTAGCCATGGTGTGAGCAGATTACAGCATTCTGCCTAGCATTGTGCTATGTAGGGATAGAAAACCAACAACATCCCTTAGAAATGAAGGATACGGTCTGCATTAGCGTCACCAATTCCAATCTAGTTAATCAACAACGTGAGGTAGTTGTCCTTAGAACAAAAGCCTCAAGAGTGGCTGATAGCATCACGCTACTGCCTGCCCTATCTAAAGAAACATCAGAGGAAAATGATACTGCTGAGTGTAGCGAATATATCGTATAGCAGATACATTATTATTATTTTATTTTTATTTTTTATTTTTCCTTTCTGAATGTCTTTTTATGTATTTCTAACAGGGGAGCCTTGATAACATCAGCATCATTCTAGTCTGTTTCCATGGCGCCCCCCAGCTGTCACCTGAAGCACTGCACCAGGAGGCTGAGCTGGAGGACTTTCTGGAGTCCAAAGTAGCTGGTACACCATCTGATTAAATCTGGCTTCTTCTGGTGTTGCTTTTAAGATTTACATGACTTACGTCACAGATGGCAATCCTTTCAAATCATGGAGTCATATAATGGTTAAAGTAAATGGTCCTCTAGCGGCCTGCTTGAGTAATTAAATCATTGGCACGCATGTTTCTTTGACAGAGATATTTGAGGAGCTGAGCTCAAGAGGTGATGAGCCTGATCTGCTGTCAGTTCTGACAGTACTGGCTTCAACAGTGATTCCTGGACTTCCACCAGGGGGCGGCCTTCAGAGCAAGTGAGTGCATGATGTCTATCATGCTTTACTTCTGCTCAAAATAGCAGTCAGCACTTGTCTGAGAGAAGTTTGAAAACTTATTTCACAGACTGTGACATGAACATTTTTAGGTACAGCTGTTGCATGAATAGATAAATCACAGTCCCAGTGCTTTAAATCGGTTTATTCCCAACAAGATCTATAATACAATGAGAAAACTTTAAATAAGCATTCTTATTCCTCTTTCTACCATTATTATTGTTATTATTGTTGTTGTTGTTAAGAATCATTTATTATAATTGATATTGATTGATATTTAATTATTATTATTAATAATTGGCTTATATTTAGTATGATAATGTAAGCAGTTAATTTATTATTAATAATAATAATAATATTAGAGCTGATTGGTGCACCTTCCCTAGAGCACCAATCAGCTCCACAAGTACAGCTCAATTGACATGTAGTTGTAATGACTGCCAAAAGAACAGTGGATTGAACTTTGAAATATCATAATTTTTGGACATTTGCAGACGGAACTGTATCATTTCAGCATACTATCAGCAGAAAGAGGCATGGCGATCTAGATTAGCCCAGGTAAGCTTCTATACAGATCCATTTTATATGTTATAATAATATTTAATGTAAGATATATACTGTGTATGTGAAATGTATACAATGAGTCTTACAATCGACAATACTCAGGTAATGTGTTCAAGCAGTGACAACAAACTTTTGAGATTCTCTTCAGTCTTGGCATGTAACAGGTCACTTTTAAATTGATACAATAAAAAAGGCAGAGCTTGACAGAAGTCTCTGGATTCTGAGGAACAGTAAATTAGCGACAAGCTAATGCTGATGTATTAAAGGAATAGTTCACCCAAAAATTATTTACTTGCCTTTACTGCTTAGTCTTTTTAGAAGCATGGTCCAATTATTTTGTTTAGAGGGAAAAAAAAAATCTTGTGTTTGATAAAAGGAAAAAGAAACAACAGCATACATGTTTGGAGCAACATGATCTTAAGTAAATAATGACAGGAATTTCATTTTTGTGTCAACTATACCTTTAAACGGATAGTTCACGCAAAAACAAAAATAATTGATTAATAATACACCCATCCTAGGTGTATATGACTTAAAAAATGTCCTGGCTCTTCCAAGCTTTATAATGGCAGTGAATGGGGGTCAAGATTTTGAAGCCCAAAAAAGTGCATCTATCCATTATAAAAAGTGCTCCACACGGCTCCAGGGGGGTTAATAAAGGCCTTCTGAAGTGAAGTGATGCATTTGTGTAGGAAAAATATCCATATTTAAAACTTTATAAACTGTAGTCTCTAGCTTCCGCTAACTGTTGTACACACGTTCACGAGAGAGTGGAGTTCCAGCATATGACGTAGGCGTAGCGTAAGCTCCGGTGAGAAGTGATAAATGCAGAAGCGCAGAGGAGAGAGCAAAACAAAATACCGGTCACGAATTAGAAGTACAACATCTAGCGTAGCGTTAGTTCTGGCAGGTCACGTTAGTCATGCTCGCATCAGCTGACTTTCAGCTGATCCCCATCAACCTATGGGAATACGACACCTATCTAAGCATTCATATATAAGGTCCCTCAGTATTATCTGCAGTTTTCGCATTGCTCAATAGCTAATTACCCTCCTCCATCCCCAACTCCTCCTCTGTCAGTCAGGATTCAGCCTTCTGATTCTCCTTTGAATCAGACTAATTCTAAAATGTGTACATAACATTATTGAACTTTAACGATATCTGCAATACATTTATGTTGGTTCTGTTCTGTTTACCCTGGGGGGGGTTATTGCTGCTCTCCCTGTTCTCATCCATGCTAGGCTGCATGGATGCGCAGGGAGTTCTTGCCCAGAACAGAACCATACCACCAATCCAAACTGTATGCTAATTGTCAATCATCTTTGACGATAGTGGTCCTGACAGAAACGAGGATTTGTAAAGAAAAATGTCAGAGGATTTGATATAAGCCGAGAAAAGACTGGTTTTCCTTTCCTTTGCAAAACTTGGTACTCGCGAGACTAGCATATTCTCACTGGAGCTTACGCTACGCCTACGTCATACGCTCGAACACCACTCTCTCATGAATGCGCGTATGACAGTTAGCTGAAGATTACGGTTTATAAAGTTTTAAATATGGATGTTTTTCTTACACAAATGCATCAGTTCACTTCAGAAGGCCTTTATTAACCGTTTTATGATGGATGGGTGCACTTTTTTGGACTTTAAAATCTCGACCCCCATTCACTGCCATTATAAAGCTTGGAAGAGCCAGGACATTTTTTAACATACCTCCGATTGTATTCGTCTGAAAGAAGAAAGTCATATACACCTAGGATGGCTTGAGGGTGAAGACATTATGGGGTAATTTTCATTTTTGGGTGAACAATCCCTTTAAGAATTCACATCAAACTTGAAATGTTAAAATCTCTAAAAACAAATTCTATTAAATACAAGCACTTTTACATGTTGGTTTATACAGGCTCATAATATAGTCACTATAATATAGTCCTGTTCTTGAATAGTTGTTTCCTGTAATACGCTCTTCTCTGTTTGCATGATCGTGTTGCCTTACTGACCTCTTTGAAATTATGCCAATATATAAACATGTTAATATTACGAGATATTTCCTGATGACTAGCAAATGAACTGATGCAGTGCTATATCATGTTATGTACTGATCTTTCTTTGTGCACATTTTACAGATGTTGTGCAATATTTGTGCTAACATAAAGGTTGAAGGTTGAGTAATAAAAATAAACAGATCAAGTCATTCATGAGATTTTAGTTTATTAATGTCTGTCCTGCTACATAAAGAGACTTTATGGCCTGTTGGTAATTATAGTCATACACGTTGCGAATGTGTGTGGCTGAGCTCAGATTTCAACACAAGAGTAACACCAACAGTAAGCAGTACCACTGTCATCCTGAAGGGGGCAGTAGAGACTCGCTCCTCTGCAATTTGCAAACCTTGTATTTATGTCACACTGATGCCTATAGTGTTACTCAGAAACAGATTTAAAAAGCTCTATGATTGACAACAGGCTGCTGTTACACAGGTATAAAGGGCGTGAATACATCTGAAACACATAAATGTTGATACCAAAATAAATATTTAACAAATAAGTAATATTTGTGTTTACAATATACAATATCTACAGAATGTATACAGATGACTTAGTTTGTCTTTTAAATACTGATGATACTATCACATTAGATCCCTTTTGCTAAAAGTCTATTTGCACGTATTTGTATTAATTTAGATCATTTATTTCTTAAGACAATCTACACTGAGGCAGCGTGATAGAAACGATTAAACAGTGAATATTACTGACCATCTTCCTTTGATTTGACACTTGTATTTCTTCCTCCGGGGACTGTCTCTATGTAAGTGCCGTGGCTACATCTGCCTGGCTCTCGAAAATCAGTCTGTTTTCGTGAAGAGCCGTTAAAGGAGCTCTCTAGAGGCACAGTGTGATTGCTCACCACACTGGCCAATCACTTCAGCATCAAAGTGACTCTGAGAAGCGATGTTACCATTAAAATCATATGGTTTATTTATAATGATGTAAAAAAAAAAAAATTGAAAGCCGTCTACTCTTCAGAACGAAGCCATTCATAAATGCTAACCTTCACCGTCCTTCTGATCTACAGAGGTAAGTGGCTATTTTAATTTGATCTAATTTGCTCTGCACTGCCATTCCAATAGTAAATGTACACTTAACATCTTTAATAATTGCTAAAACCTCTGCTAACTTATTTTTCCAGCGAGCTCAGTCCAGCTCAGTCAGGGTTGGGAAAAAATTCAGAACTGAAGAATTTGCTGTCTTTTAGTCAGTGAGTGTGAATTTTAATTTAATTATCCAAAAAGTTGAATAGGAATCTGGTTTGGAATGACAGGAGGAGGAATTTACTGAATACATTTCAAATATAGGCTATCTGTCTATTTATCTGACCATAAGACCTAGAAAACTTTTTCCCACAACTTTCAACTAAGGCTTTGTCAAGCCAACATTCAAAGTTTGTCCTAAAGGGATAGTTCAACCGAAATGAATGAAAATTCTTTCATTTACTCACCTTCATGTTGTTCCAAACCCATAAGAGCTTTGTTCATCTTTGAAATACAAATATATTTATTTTTATTGAAAGCTAAGAGAATTCTTTCCCTCCATTAAAAGTTAGTGTCACCAAAACTATTCAAAAATTCATAAAACATAATCCATGTGAATTTAATGGTTTAATTCAGTCTTCTGAAGAGATATGATCGATTTATATGATGAACAGGTTTAGTTTAGGCTGTTATTGCCACAAGAATATTATTCATTAAAACTATCTTCTTCTGTGTTTCGAAGATGAATGAAAGTTTGATGGGTTTGGAACGACATGAGCGTGAGTAAATGATGACAGAATTTTAATTTTGGAGTAAACTATCACATTAACAAATTTAAACTTTGCTTTTCTAGTTAAAGGTTAGTCATATACACTTCTTTGAATTTCAATTCAATTTCAATTCATTCCTTTCATTCAAATTTGAATTACAATTCCGGATTCTGTTTGTTACAGCAACTCAAATGCAATTGAAATTCGGGATTTTAAAGCCATTCTCATTTCAGTTCTGAAAGGTACACAACCCTTACTAAAAGTTATCCTTAATGTGCGATATCCAACGCCATCGTTGTATGACCGAGCTACCTCTCGACACTTGTCTCCTGAAGGCGGTTATTCATGATAGCAAAGGCGCCCACTCCACCGGAGAAGCCGTTCTGGCGAACGTGGCTCTGCCTTGGATTACCGTGAGCAGTCTCTGAGAGTTGCTTCTGTAGAATGGCCAGAGAAACCTTGTTGGTCATAAAGTCATTGACTGAGATCATTTCTCCAGACAGTCTGCGCCCTGTCAGATAACCTCCATCTGGTCCTAAGCCAGCATCAGTCTCACTATCACAAACTGTTTCCACTGATGCATTAGTGAAGCGCTTTCCTGCCGCTTCGTTAGCCGGGGCAGGGTGCACGGCATTGCGCTTTTGAGCCCTCTGCCGGGAATGTCCCAGTTGAGGGTGGTGGTTGTGCCGCTGGTTGGAAATGCGTGGAAAGCAACAGCAACAGCAACAGCAGGCCTGACCTCTTCTTCTGTATGGACGGCCACGGCAGGGACACTGAGCCCTGCTGCAGTCCAGTTTGCCGAGGATCCAGTTGAGCGTCTGCTTGATAATGATGGAAATGACATTGAACAGGGAATAAATGCAACAAACACCCATGAGGATGAAGAGGCAGTTGCCGAGACGGTAGGCCTCCTGAGCTTTATAGAACTCCCGTTGGCTGCTCACCACATCCCCGAAGCCAATGGTGCTGAAGGCCACAAAGCAGAAGTACAAGGACTCAAAGTAGTCCCATTCCTCCATGGCAGAGTACAACGCAGAAGCACTGCATGCAATCAGCAGGGCGGCGATGCCCAGAATGAGCATTACGTAGTAGACTGATGGTTTCCAACCTTCCAGACTGTCGTCCTCGCTCCTGGCCTCCTCTCCTCCCATGCCAGAGCGGCGCAGTTGTCGCTCGTGACACCAGCGCATGATGTAGGCCAACATCGTGATGATGCGCTCCAGGAAGAGGTTGAAGAAGAGGATTGTTGCTGCGCAGCCAATAAGTCCGTAGAATATCAAAAAGATCTTACCTGCAATGGTGACGGGAGTGGTCATGCCAAAGCCTGGAAGGAAACAGGAAATTATTTTAATACATTTATTCCTATTTAAAAACATCATTTAGCCCTCCTCATGTCACTTCAAACTGCTATGGTTTTATGCCTTCTGTGGGACACAAAGTTTTAAAAAACATCATGAAAGTAGACAGTCACCAGAGGCTGTCATGCTCAAAAGCTGCTAAAATATACCATATGTGTGTCTTTCAAGTCTAATTTATACTTGTGGGCACTCAATTTGAGTATTTTGTGAGTGGTCACAAGAACAGCAATAGCCAATAACATTTGACATCATGTCAAACCTGGCAGGGAGCATCTTGAGGTGGGGCAAGTTTGAAAGATTTCAAAGTTACAGGAGAATTTGCATATGCATTTTTTTTTTTTCGGAAGAAAGAAAATTACATCAGGGCAAGTAAATGAAGTCAGTATTGGCATTTTTATATATATTAGTATATAAAGCAGGTGTGTTCGATTAGGGTTGAAGCTAAACTCTGCAGGACTGTGGCTCTCCAGGCCCGTAAATTCTCTTTTGCAGTTATGAAAATCTGAATGCATAGATGACATTATATGAACTCACCAATAGTGGAGACCACTGTAGCAACAAAGTAGAAGGCTCCTGAGAAATCCCAGCGGGGCCTAAGTTTGTCCACTCGGATCCCAGTAGCAAAGGCCTCCTCATATTGCTTTAGGAGGACCTCTAGGGATTTCAGGTTTATGCTGTTTTGCTCAGTGAAGTTAGCCAGCTGTTCGTCCCAGCGACTGTGAGCCTGCAGCTCAGAGGGATGCTCAAGTGCGGAGAACACCACCGCCCCACACAGCAGGTAGAGGAGGATGAGGGCCGCCAACAAGCCAAAACGAGCATTGTCTTCATTTAGGTGCAGTGGGAGGCAACAGCTGTTGCTGACATCTCTTCCACGTGGCATGACTTGATCACCAGCAGGAAATGACAAGAACAGGCAAACATGCACAGCCGCTAACACAGACACAAGAAAACAAACACTTTCACTCACAATCAGACTTCACCACAATGGGCTTTAGAAGACGTAGAGACACATGAAAATCACATCGCATCACTTTCTCCAGTGGCACCATCGTACACAGCAAGGTTATCAAGTAAAATGACACATGGTCCAGGAAATAAGACCTCAAGATACACCTTTTGGATTAGCAGGTAACAGTAGGCAGACAAGCGCAAGATTGTTATCTTTTCACATCTCGCTGTCCATGTATAGCTGGTGCTGCACCAGTCAGTAATAACGTTGTGGTCTTGATGTGAAATCATCCTTGAGCTGGCTGGAAAAAAATATGAAAAGGATTGTAAGGAAATGTATTTAAGCATTACATTTAAACAGTACATTAGTATCATACTATTTCAAAGATCACTAGATCCTGATTATTTTTAAGTTATCATGCACACAGTACTACAGAATACAACAGTTTTATTATACATTCTGCATTTTTTGCAATTCTATTCTATTTTATTTTTATTTATTTTTATAAATTAATTAGATCACTGATTACTATCAACATACATGGTTGGCTATTATTAATGTCGGTCACATTTTCCTAATTTAGGTGATAATGAATTATTTGTTTATCACAAACAAACTTTTAGAGTGATGAAATTGAAGGTTACCTACCTGATTTAATTTTTAATATTTGAGGAAGAGCACCGTCATGTCACCATAGTACTCCAAACAATATTGCTATGTTAATGGAGCGAGGTAAAGGAATCAAAAGTGGTGGAAACATTTAGCTAAACTTAATAGGTGCCGTATATTCCTGGCAAGTGTGAATCCTTGGGAGCTTGTGATTGAATGATGCAGCTGAGGAGTAGTGACTGAGAGAGAGAGAGAGAGAGAGAGAAAGAGAGAAAGAGAGAGAGAGAGAGAGAGAGAGAGAGAGAGTTGAGCTGAGCTGAGCGACCAGGTAGTAGTTGTGGGGACTTTTGTGGGGACTCAAATCCTTCGAATCCTAAAAAGATTCTTTCACTGCTTCATTCGGTGTTGTTTTCTGCAGGTTACATCAGTACGCCTAGCAGAACTAAAGTATTTTGGTGTGTTATGAATCACTAAATCATCCACTCCGATTCTTGATCGAATCAAGCCTTATCTTTTACTATACACGTATCCACTGAAAGAATCTACAGAAAGAATAGCCCAGTAAGAGCTTTCTATAATTTTCGCAATATTTTGTCACCTTGTTTTATCAAGCTATAGAAGAAAAAAAAACAATACTAGCCCAAACAAATATTCAAAAAAACTAAATCATTAATAAAAGAAATACTAGACTGCAATTTTGGCCATTAAGGATGGATCTACATGGATGGTACAGGATCTAGTGAGGTAGGTAACTCACTAGGATTTGAAACACATTCAGAGTGACGTATTGAATACTGCCATTTACTAAGATTTCAGGCTTCAAGCTTCAACCATATAATCTTCAGAGAGTCGACATAGACATTGGAAGGCGGACTTAATTTACATAAAATTTTCTTTTTTTTAATTTGTAATAAATTTTTAAACCTAGCATTTGTACTGTTATTCCTTTTTTTATTTTATTTTATTTTATGTCATAAAAAGAGAAAACATCAGTAATGGCATTTTCACACAAATTATAGTGACCATGGTAATTTGTTCTTATGCACTGTCATAATAAATACCTAAACTCACAAATCACCCCCTACCCCATTACAATCATCTCTCTCTGAAAATGCAACTTCAAGGACATTCAATCAACAAGTACAATTTAAAAGCTTTAAACAACTGACAGACCTCCATTTGCCTGTTGCTTCACTGACATTAAAATATTGCTTTGTTTGATGTTGACAGACAAAAATATAGCCATGGTACTCTCTTTCTATTGTGAGATGTGCTTAGATGGCTGAGATGACATTGCTTTGTTCTCTCTGACCAGCCCACCCTTTCCTTTCATCTTGGTTGCCAGCTCACAAGACTGTATTCCCCCATCATTAGAGTACTGGTCATTGCTTGTAAGTGCCCAGGTGCAGTGGAGACAGACAAGCACTATATCAAGAGTGTGTGGTATTTTATTCATAAACTTTGTCCTCATCAGAAAACAAATGTTTTGGCAACTGCCGCCATGAAACCGAAAAGATAGCAAAAGCCTTGCTTTTCTATTATTCCAAATGCAGCAGCGCTAATCATGGGTTTGGTCTCTGAGTGCTACTGTCTTTAAAGTCATCAAGAGATCTGAGAAGTGTGATCTGCATAATGTAATTCATCGCAGGTGCTGTGTGATGAATATAGTCATCGCCCAAAGCTCATTATGGAGTCTCTCTGTCTTTCCTCTTTTCTCTTCATCCTCCTGACCGTTCTCTTTGTCTTTCTGTTGTCGATGTGTTAAAAATCAGCACTTTCCAAACTGGCCTGAGTCGTTGTTCAACATTATATATGTATAATGCACTTTAATGACACAAGACATGATTGGATATCAGCACCTTTATTTCAGGTTTGTTTTGTATCTTTAATATTTTAAAGATTAAAATCTTATATTTTAAACTTAAAACTCAAGTTTTAAGTGATAAGTCTTTATATGCATAATTTAACTATAGACGAATATCACAGTAACATTTTAATCAGAAATCATGTTACAAAAAATAACCAGTACAATTCAGCATTACTAATATATATATATATATATATATATATATATATATATCATTAAAAAAAAAAAACAAA